GGGTGGGAGGAGGGGGACAGGCTTCTGAGAAGCACGCCCGCTTCTGAGAAGGCGCGGGCCTTTCTCTGCAGGTGTAGGGCCAGCGCCTTCTCTGAGATCCCACGTTGTTTGAAAAAGTCGAAACACCGTGGACAGTCACGACCAGAGCCCCAGACCCCAACTTCCCGCGCCGTTCCTCGAGCCGGATCCATCTGCGCGGGCCCCGTGGCCCGAGACCGGGCGCGACGACGCCCGCCTCGAGAGAGTGGAGTCGCCAGGATCTCTCGTGCGCGCCGCCAGAGGATCGGCTACACATAAGAGTGACCCTTCGCCGGAGTGACCTTTGGTGCGGGCCCATGGGGATCCCCCGAGCGCCGAACGCGATGCGGTATAGTAGCACCTTGCGCGCTTGTGTGTTGGTCCCCCCGCGGCCCCCCAAAAGCTGCGCACCAAAGGCCACTCTTACCCAGGGGTCACTCGCAGTGGCTGCGTTCGCATGCGCTCACCGCGCCCGATTCGGCACACCCCTCACACGTTTCGTTGCACCAAAGGCAGCTCCACCAAAGACGATTATTACATCCGCGGTGCACACGTATGCTCATACGTATGGCTGGGTCTTCCGCCAGGATGATTGCTGTTTCCCTGTTGCGTGTCGCCGAGAGGAGGGCACCGACGACGCCGTCCCCGTGACGGCCCTGCCCGCAGCGCCCGACGCCGCCGGCGGCGCCGCGCCCGCGCCCGCCGAGGCCCCGGAGCCCGCCGCCGCCGCGGCCGCGGCCGCGCCCGCTGCGGACGCGCCCGCCGCCGTGGCGGAGGCCCGCCCGCGCGCACGAGCGGGCCCCCTCGCTGGAGTTCAGTCGGGCCTGTGCCTTCTACGGGGGGAAGATTCAAGAATACCAAACAAAAATCGTCTGGGGACTACGTTTTGACTATTTTCCAGCACTTGGGGAGCATTTGTTGAGTATTTCCAATTTTTCACGCAAAATCCCCCTGTAGGGGGACAGGCCCGACCTAACGCTGGAGAGGGGGCCTTCCCTGAGACTCGGGCGTTGCAGTCGCTTTTCGCTAGGCGTGCTCTCAGAGGAGGAGGAGGAGGAGGAGGTGCCCATACCATACCTCTGCCCTTCCCTCGTTTTCCCCTTTCTGGGCCTCCTGGGAGCCCCTCGTCGCCACTGCTGGATGCGCCTCGAGGGTCTGGCCAGAGCGCACCCCAGGAGGGGTCCGGGGAGCAGCTGCATCGGTAGGATTGCAAAAACAAAAAAAAAAGATTGCAATCCTTTTTTTTGTTTGCAATCCTTCGTTTTTTTGCAATCCGAGGCTCTGGCCAGAGCGCTCCCCAGGAGAGGTCCGGGGAGCAGCTGCATATCGGTACCTTTTGATTTCCCCATGCTCGCCCGGTCTCGGGCCCGCAGGGACCCTCGCAGGAGCGCCGCGCACTGGGAGCGCGGGGGCGGCAGATCGGGAGGGAAAGAAACACACAGACACAATTAATCGTCGATTTCCCAGAAGATACGGGAAAATATGGGAAGTGGGGGGGGGGAAGACAAAAGCCCAGAAGATATGGGAGAATATGGGGATCTTGTTTATTTGTGTGTATTTATTTGTGTGTTTGTGGGCCCCTTCAGTAAAGGGGGCGGGCGGCGAGGGCTGTAGGACAGGGGCCCCTCAGGGCCCCCACAGGGGCCCTCTCGCCTCTCGGGTTCCAAAGGGGGCCTTTCGGGCCCGAGGAGTGCACCTCTCTCCCCACAGAGTGGCCCAAAGCAAGGATCGGTCCGGCCCCAACAGCGCCGCAGGAAGATGGGGTCTATAGGGCTCTGGTCGTGATCTTTCGCGGTGCTTGTTTCGCAACGTCGGTTTGCAAGGTGCTGCGGTGCGGGCCAACCCGACCCCCTCGCGAGACATGAAAAACATACGACGGGATATCCTCAGCAACGTTCGGCCTCTGAGGGCCCTTGCCTGGCCCTGGGACCACAAAAAAAAAACGGCGCAGGATACAAAGACGGCCCTGAGGAGTGGGCCGAGGACAAAATTCTTGACGTTCGGGGTCTTGGCGGCCAACCGGGCTTTTCTCGCCCAGCACTTGGCCTGCGCGCCAGGGCGGGCCCCCCCGTCCCCCCGCCCCCCCACGCGGCATCCGCATGCCGCTCACTGGCCCAAACGCCTGACGTCGTGCCTTGTTTTCAAGACGAGGCTGCCCCAGAGGTCTGGGGGGGGAGGGTTCGAGCCTCCCCCCTGAATCCAGGGGGGGCTGGTTCCAAACCTCCCCCCCCTCCACGCGCCTACTGAACCGGCTCTTTCCGAGGTCTGGACCCCTTCCCCAGGACAAGTTTTTCCCTCTGGGTCGTTTTGCCGACAGTCCGCGGGGCCTGGTGGGCCACCAGAACCAGAAACAATTGACCAATGTCGCGGTGAATCTTTTTCGCAACCGTATGTGGTCTGGGACTCCCTTCAGATCCGACGTTGCAGGAAAAATGCAACATCGCGACAAATCACGACTGGAGCCCTTGACCGCATTTTTGCGCGGCGATTTTTGGCGCCGGGTCGATCCGTGGCAGTCCTGGGGCCCCCGGGCCCGAAACCAGGCGATAGACGCCCGCTGCGGAAAAAAAGCAACGCCCAGACGTCAGAGGGGTAGTTTTATGCATAGCGAGAGCAGGTCTTGGACTCCTGCCTGGGATCACCCCCGCGTGTACCCAGGCATCCCTCATGGGGTCGGATTATGGGGTCGGAGGATCGCGCCGCATCGCCGATGCATCGGTGGTGCGGCGCCCAATTTACACCACGCCAGCGTCGCCGATACAGCAGCTCTCGTTCACTGGGCACAGGATTGGCTGTCGGCGTCCCTGCGGTCGTTGTGCTTTCGGGATGCAATCCGCATGCCCAGCAGCGGCCGCTGGCGGTTTGGAACAGCACCTTCCGGGCATCGTGCCCATTCTTTCCGTACCCCTTCCCAGACCCCCGACGTAATGATTTTTTCATTACGTCGACCCCCAGAGGTCCCGACCCTTTCCCCATGACCGGCTTTGCATCCTGAGTCGTTTTTTGACGCTCCCGAGGCCCGGTGAGGGCCCCCAGAGGCCGAAAACTAGGAAGAACCTCCCGTCATGATTTTTTCATCACTCGAGGGGGTCTGGGTTCCGGGCGTCTAGAGCATGGGGTCACCCCCGGTGTGTGGCCGACCAGAGGCCGGGGCCGCCGGGGCAGCATCCGAGGGCGGCGCGGGCTTCTTCAGCTTCAGCGGCTTCGCGCCCGGGCAGGAGGGGCCGGCCGCCGACGAGGCGTCGGAGGGCGCCAAGGCGCCAACCCCGGAGAGCCGACCTCGCGAAAAGATGGCAACAGCGTGAGACATCATGACCGGAGCCCCAGACCCCATCCCCAGACCCCCTCGAGTAATGAAAAAATCATGACGGGAGGTTTTTCCTAATTTTCGGCCTCCTGGGGCCCTCACCGGGCCTCGGGAGCGTCAAAAAACGACTCAGGATAACAAACCGGTCCTGGGGAAGGGGTCGAGAACTCTGGGGTCGACGTAATGAAAAATTCATTACGTCGGGGGTCTGGGGAGCCGGATGGATGTGTGAGGGCCCCGGGGGCCCGCAGCAGGGCGCAGGCGCCCTGTCCGGGACAAAGGATGCATCGCCAGGATCTGAGGGAGTCTGTACGCCTGCACCGGTCCTCGCCAAAGCCCACCCCGACACCCTCGCAGCGTGAGCCAAAATCCTGGGGGGAGGTTTTCGGCAGGTCTCGGCCCCCAGGGTGCCTCAGCGGCCCGTGGGGCCGGCAGAAAGCGGCTCGGGACGCAGAGCCGTGCCCGGGGGGAAGTGGTGCAGACTTCTGGGGGTGTGGGCGACGATCGGTGGACAGGAGGCATGTTGCCAAGTGTTTCCCAGATGTCCCGAATGTTTTACATCAAGTGTGTGAACGCATGATTGAAACATGTGAAAGCATGTTTTCAACACACACACACACATGTTTAGTTCAGTGATCGGACTGACGGAGTGTTCATTGCCATGACATCCACAACTCTGGGGGTCCGAATTTTGAAAAGAACGCTAATTACGTCGGATGTCTGGGCATCTTGGCCTAGGATCGTCGTGTAGGCTCTCTTGGCATGGCAAGGAGGGTACTTGCACCGATCCTGGGGCCAGGATCTGTCAGTCCCATCCTGGTCCCCAAAGTTGGAGTAGTGGGTCTGGTGCGAATGGGTTGGCGGTGAGAGGTTTATCGGTCTTACAGACAGTCAAGTAAGGTGGTGCGATTTGAGCATTCGGCCCGAAGTTCGAAACCGCACGAAGTTACCAGACCGTCGGTCCATCAATTCCAGGGGCCGTCGGCCCAGCCAGCCTGGGGAAAAGAGAATCGGCGGCAGGTCGCGGGCGGTGAGCGCAACATCGGGCGCCCGACAGCGAGTGCAGGGGCCCCCGAAGACATTGAAGGGGGTCCCCGCTCGGGAGTGTCAACCTCGCCTCGGGTACCGGATCTGGATTCGGATCTGTTGCGGATCGCATGTCTGCACAATGATTTATGGACGCATCCGAGTGATTCGAGTGGTGAAAAAGTGGTGTGTGTTGGAACGGGTCCCGTTGGACCATTGTACCGCTGTACCTTTTTTTTCTACGGGTTGTGTCGGACCGTTGTACCTATGTATAGAATGTATTCAAGGCGACGAAGGTCTGCGAGGACGACTTGCGCAGGGGCGCGGGGGGGGCACGGGGCAGGCGCGACAGAGGGGGGGAAAGGCGCCTTTCAGAATTTCCAGGGGCGTTCCTTTTAGAATTTAACTTCGCAGTTCCTCTGTGTTCCAACGTGATGCCTGTCGCGCGTTCTGATCACTGGACCTCGCCGTCGCCGACGTCGTCGTCGTCGCCCTCGCCGCCGCCGCCGCTGTCGCCGCCGACAGATCCGCTACGGATCCGGTTCGGTTCCGACGCTTTGTGGGCCGTTTCGAGTGGCTCGAGTGGTGAAAAATAATGTTTTTGGAGCAGGCATGGTCGTACCACTCTACCCGTGCATGATACTAAGTAAGGGCAGCGGAGGTCTCCGATGACGACTTGTGCAGGGGCACGAGTGGGCATGTGGCAGGCGCTGCAGGGGAGGGGAAGGCGCCTTCCAGAGTTTTATTGAGGCGCTTAAAAAAAAAATACTTCGCAGCCCCTCGGGGTTCGACGTTTTGCCTGTCGCGCGTTCTGGTACTGAACCTCGCCAGCGACTCGACCGGCGGAAAACAGTGCGTTTGGAACGGATCTGGTCGTACCGCTGTACCCTTGTGAAAATAGAATTCTAAACACTTCGCGTATCCCCACCAGCCCCCCCTTGCACATGGGCGTGGTGACAGTACGGTCAGCCTTGTCGGCATCGGCAGATGAGGACGTCGGTCAGGCACCTTTCTGGCGCTCGTGTGAGACGTCGGCTGCAGTCACAGGAGTGCCTTCGAGATGCGTAGCTCACCGCCTTGGTACCAGGGTTCTCGTGGGCGCTTCCTTTTGTGGTCGACCTTTACCAGGCTTTGGCCTGCATTCCCCTCAGATGCTTGCAGGCTGGCCGACGTTCCAAGTGAGTGAGTGGTCTTGGCCCCTTCCGCCTGGCAGTCCAGCTCCACCAGCGGGTCTGGCCTTTTTTGCTCCCCCCTTCCCTCGCTGGCACACGTTCAGCGGCCAGTTAGTGGTTTCATCGCTGGCAGATGCTCAGCGTCACTTGTGCTGCTGGCACACGCTCAGCTGCTTCTTGGCCGGCACAGTGCTGCGCCGTTAATTATCTGCTTCCGTGCGCTGTGTCCCAGCCTCGTCCTCGCCGCCCTCTGGACTTTTCCTTGCGGGCCGCGAATCAAAAAATATCCCCACCAGCCCGTCCATAAATGAGTCCCAGGGGAGTGGAGGTGATGAGGGAAGCGGGGGAGCATGCAGAAGAACAAAGGGCGGGGTAAGCCGCCATATACCCCAAGAGGGGGAGGATGTAGGAGGAGTCGTCGTCGTCGGAGTAGGAGGAGGAAGAGAAGGAGCAGGAGGAGGAGGCAGGAGGAGGAGGGGGAGGAGGAAGATGAGGAGGAGGAGATGGAGGAGGGCGAGGACGTGGAGGACGAGACGGAGGAGAGGAGGAGGAAGGAGGAGGAGGAGGAGGAGGAGGAGGAGGAGGAGGGGGGGCCTATTGCGGGGCCTCTTGGGGATCTTTTGGGAGCCTTGGAGGCCTCTTGGGCGCCTCTTGGGGCCTCTTGGGGCCCTCTTGGGGCGCTCTTGGGAGCATTCGGGGCGCTCTTGGGGCCATGTTGGAGGAGATCTATCAAAGAAGGGGGGGTGGTAAATTAGCCTTGCCCCTCAAGAGTGTCTCGAATCGCCTCTTGGGCCCCAAAAGAGGCCAAGATCCTTCCAAAACCTAGGGAAATCAATGTTTTTGTTCCTTTCTCGCCTTTTCGCTCTTGGAGCCGTCTTGGGCCATCTTGGACGCCCCAACGACCCGCGGAACCCTCCGTCCAGGTCCAGAGGAGGGGGTAGGGAGAGGGGTAAACCCCTCCCCGAGGGGAAGGAGGGGGTTGGAAGCGAAGGCTTCCGAGGACGATTTCCGCAGGGGTGCGGGGGGTCACGGGGCACGCGCGACACATGGGGGGGGGCCAATTTGATTGAGGCGTTCGTTTTTATAATTTTGCTTCGCAGCCTCTTTGGGCACCGACGTTTTGCCCGTCGCGCCTCCTGATCACTGGATCTCGCCACGTCGTCGTCGTCGCCCTCGCCGCCGCCGTCGCCGCCGCCGCCGTCGCCGTCGTCGTCGCCGTGGCCGCAGCCGCCGTCGCGGTCGTCGTCGTCGTCGTCGTCGTCGTCGTCGTCGTCGTCGTCGTCGTCGTCGTCGTCGTCGTCGTCGTCGTCGTCGTCGCCTTCACAGCCGCCGCCCCCCCTCATCGTCTGTCGCCGTCATGCGGCAAGACGCCCTGGGCCCCACGGGGCACGCCAGGAACCCTAAGAGATTTGGCAATTTGGGGTACAGGCCCGGAAAAGGAATCCTCAGGGTCGAAGAGTGGGGTTCCAGGGGCTCCGGCAAGGGACCTGGTGGCATTCCAGCTCGCGCTTCAACGGCACGGTGGCGGATATGATGCGGGCGGCGGTGATTTCCATGGCCCAATCCACGATAGGTGCTCCTCCGGCCTTGAGGCCCTGGATTACTCCAGATTTCGTAATAAAGGGAGGGGGGTCTCATTTCGGGGGGTCTCTTCCAAGCTATCTTGGAGGGCCTGGGGGGGGTCTGGGGACGATGTTTTGGAGGGTTCTCCCACGGGGGGGGTCTGACATGGCTTGTCTTGGAGGGTCCATATCCCCCTCCCTTTTATTACGAAATCTGGAGTATTCATCCAAGGGCTCCTTATCCAAATGCCCTCGCCGCAGGTGCGATATAACTGGCGCTCTCCAGAGGCGGAGCCGGCCGCGAAGCGGCCGAGGCTGGACGCCAGCGCCGCGGAGCAGCCATGGGGCGACGAGGCACCGCCCTGGGCGTGCGAGGGCGCCGCCGTGGTCGTGCGGGGCGCGGACGGCGGGGCGCCCGACGCGGGCGGCGCCATTGTGCAGAGGTGCGGCGCGACCTGCGTGGTGCGGCTGGCGCGCGGCGGGCGGGAGGCGAGCGGCGCGCGGCTCGGACCCAGACCCCCTCGCGCTGGACGGTTCCGGCCTCCGGGGGCCCTCCACCGGGGGCCCCGAGGCTGCCAACAAGGACGGCCTGGGGTGAGAAGCTGGCCCCCGGGGAGGTGCGAAGGCCTGCGGGACCACTTCTTGAGCCCCAAACCAGCCAGCGCTTGTTCTGCGATGTCGGTGCTCGAGGGCCGTTGTCGGGCCCCTGGGGCCGAAGACGGATCTGGGGCGAACGGTGTGCGGTGGAGGCATGGATCTCCGGCGATCTTCGAAGGAGAGAAACCAGCACAAACATAAGCCCTTTTGCTTGGAGCTGGGAGAATTGTAGGCCAAGAGTATGGACTTCACTCCAGGCGTTTCCTTAAACAGTAGTCTGGGTCCAGATATACGAACAGTCGACGAAAAATGAAAGATCCAAGCAAGCGCCGAAGGTTCAGTCCAGATTCCTGATTTTCTCGAGCGGTTCTGGAGTCCAGGATCGTTAATGCTTGCTCGTAAGATTTCCGATGGGTGTCGTGTTGGAGGTACCCATCCCTGGCGCGCGGAGCACGCCAGGGGTGGCGCCGGAGGCGACGCCAGGGGGGTCAGGGGTCGATCCGATAACTCTCACGCCGAGTTCAGACAGTCGATGTGTATGCCGTTATTTTGCTCCTTTACATGTTTGGCTCAAGTTTTTAGCTCAAAGTTTGAAGGAGGGACGTCGCGCATCCGCATAAGTCCCTGCACGTCGTCCACCACCAGCACAGCAAGGACAACCCGAATTAGCTGTGATGCACAGGACGGTGCGTGCGGGCCTCAAGGAGGTCTTCTGGCGCCAGCACGGCAAGCATAGCTCCGACTCGGAGGCAAGGGGCGGCGGCCAGGGGCCGAGCAACGTCGGCTGCTCAGATGCGCTGGACTATCCCAGAGCCAGAGCACCGACCGATGTCGACCACTGCGGTGCCAGCAAGGTGTACACGAAAAGGCTTCCCGCAGCGGGAGCCAGCGGCTGGTCTGGCTTCTCCGATTTCGAAGTTTCTTCGTGCACGTGCAGAGACTTTGGCGACTTCGGCTCGATGTTTGAGCCCCTGTCCGCGAGGGGCTTCAACTATCATGAGTTCATGCTGGCCTTCAATGTCTGCGAAAGCACTGGGATATTCCTGTCCTGCGAGAATATGAAGATGCTTCCTGCGGCAGAGTGGTTTGACGTTGAGATGGCCATCGATTCACGTCCAGATTTCTTTGCCTCCTTTAAGCCAGAGACGATTGAAGCCGTTCAGCTCGTGGCCATGGCGGTTAACAGGTGGAATTTCATGAAGGTCTGCATGACCTCCGGGCAGGACTGGATGACTTGCACGCTGTCGTACTCCCTCTTCTTGCTGGCGGTCATACACGACACGGTGGACTTGACGCGGCCGCGGTTGCGCATGCTCGAAGCTGGTTGCGGTTCTGGATACTTGATGGCGCTTTGGGCGGAGATGACTGGCCCGGGCGCAGAGATCTGTGGTCTGGAGCTGGACCCCGATATGGTTCATATTGCCCGCCGCGAGCTATGTGATTCAAAGGATACTTTTTCGGAAGGCTGGGCAAACAAGCGCACCAAGATTCAGGTCGCCAGGGGCGATCTGCAGCACATGCTCGCGGGCAGCCCTTCGACGGTAGCGTCAGAGAGCTCACTGGAGGAGCTGGAACCTCTCCCCAGCATGTATTTCGACGTAATCGTCCTCGGTGTAGCAGTGTTGAGCGTGCCGGAGCGCGTGGTGGAGTGTTTAAGCGAGGGTGGTGTGCTCGTTGTCCCGGCCCAGGTGGAGGTTTCCCCCGTGGTCTACGACGAGGGGGCCACGCGGAAGAGGAGCCACCTCCAGGTCTGGCGGAAAGAGGGCAGTGCCATCAGGCGACTCCGCAACGTCGCTTGCGACGATGTTGGAGATGGCTTGCAAGTCAACGTCATCACGTGCAGCGTCTGGCAGGAGGAGTGCGCTTGCACTGCTCGCTCGATGGAGACCCCTGTACTAATGTTGCCCGCAGTGGTCTGAGGTTGCTGAGGTACGCGCCGCGCGCACTGCCGTCGCGCGCGCTGTGATGCTGCCGGTGACTTGTGCGATGCACGCCGCGAGTGCACCTCTGCTGGCGACCGCAGCCTGGCGATGGCCCAGATAAGTGCCTCGCATCTTGTGCTGTTTTGTATATACTTGCTATCCCGAAGAGACTTCTTCCGGGTTGTCGCCGATGTGCGCCATTGGAGCCACGGGCTCAGCTACGATAGGGTAAGTCTCCTGTGCAGCGCCTAGCGCCTGGCTTGTGATTTACGGCCACGTGTGGACAGAGTGGTGTGTAGACAGTGAACAGATGCTGGCTTCACGCCCCATCCTGTACATGCAAACATCCCGATCAAATTTACTTGGCGTTGCGACAACACCTCGGCTTCAGGTCAGCCTGTGACTGGATTTTTTCAGCAGGCCAGCGTTGCCAGGACAGTTTAAAAAAGGTGTCGAATTAGCATGCGGCGGACAAGGCTGTAATCGTTTGACTTATGCATCTGCGTTCTTACCAAGGCCATCCCGCACGGCAGCCAATACATCAGCGGGCAGTTTCAAACATTCCCCATATTGTGATTGCACTTTGTGGCAATTACTTCTTGAACTTCATCCCATCGATCGAACTCCGTGTTTGATCAGGTTACATGTTTGTGGTCCACGCAGGTTTTGATATCATTTCAAGGTTCGAGTATTCTATGCCAGAGCCAAGCATCCTGTGGGTTTGAATGGCACAGGACCGCCACTCTCAGCATGGAGCAGGAGATGGCTGTAATCAAGCCCATCTCCGCGCTTGCCCGCTTCTGCCTCAATGGCGATGTGTCGTTTCTGGCGCATGCGGGGCCTCGCGCGAAAACAACAGATCTGTTTTTCTGCATGCCATGCGTTCCATCCCGCAAGTCTTCCCCTCGCGTTCGGTCCTCGTGGGGCCCGCCATCGGGCCCCCTGCCCCCTTCACAAAAGCGGACCCAGGGCGGAACACCTGCCCAGGGGAAGGGGTCGGGGCCTCACGGGGCTGCGGATTGAAGCATGACGCCGAGCACACGTCGTCGGACGTCTTGGGTTCTGGGGGCGGGGGTCGGAGGAGGCTCGTTCGAGGCAGCGACGGCCGTCCCTGCCGCTGGCCGTTCTCTCTGGGCCTCCTGGGAGCCTCTCCTGACCACACGCGGATCCGCCCTCGTCGGGCGACGAGAGCCACACATATCCACTGCCCCCTGGCCGGGCCCATCTTGAACCCAGGAGCTGTGCATTCGCCCTTCTTGCCAAGGCAGGAGGGCGTGGAGTATACACTGCTGCTGTGTTCAGGATGGGCCTGACCAGGAAGCAGTGGAGATGTATAGATTTCGCCGCCCCACCTCGGCAGACTGGCCAGGATGGACCCGGGGACGGGTCGGGGGACCGCTCTCGAACAGACTGGGCCGGGCGGGAGAGCAGCCGCTGCCTCGAAGGGCCCTCCTCCGAAGGGGATGGTCAGCCCGCGCGGGCGGTTTCGTGCACGCAGGCTGCCGCTGTCAGATCGACGCGCGATGCGCCGCGCAGCGGCCTGCGCGAGCCACCGTGTGCAGCTGGCACGGAGGTCAAGAGCAGCCCCAAGGTCGGGAGCTCTGGAAAGCGCGCCGCTCGGGGCGACACGCTATCCGCTGCCCGGTCCCCAGGGTTCAGCGTCCCGAGCATTTCCCAGTCCCCTGGCCCGCGGAGCGGAGAGACACGCGATCCGCTTGCAAGGCACAGCGTGTCGCCAGGGCCGCCGCCGCGACACGCCGCGAAGCAAAAATGCCAGACCCTAGCTTTAGAAGGGTACCCTTGTGCTCTCCCGACCGTAGCTTCAGAGGGGTACCCTTGTGTTCTCCGTGTTTGGGCTCTCCAGCTTGGGGTGCTCCTCGCATCGGGTGTATCAGGAGGGCCCTGCGCCTTCGGCGAATCGAGCTTGTACTCTTGAGCTGCGTTCTCGTGGGCATGTGTCGGCTGCAGGGTCCGCGCCTCGCTGGCTGCCTGCGCGCGTCACCGTGCAGGGTCGCCGCGCTGTTGTGCGCAAGAGGCCCTTCTTCCCACGCGTCAGGCGCCGTGATGCTGCTCCAGACGCGGCTCCCAAGGGATCTAGACCACTTCTGCTGGACTGGCTCCACATCCCGAGCCGTCTTTTGACGGCCACTGGGGCTGTCGAGGCCCCCTCGAGGCAGAAACTGCCAAAGATCGCCCGTCGCGTTTTTTGTCACGACGCCAGGGATGTCAGGGTTTCCCTCGTTGACAGGGGGTTCGTCTGTGCCGACATTCGCGCGTTAGTTGCCCGTGTTCGCCCTGGTTTCCATTGTAGCGTGCCGCGCCGGCGGCCCGCGTAAGCTGCGGCGCAAGGCTTGGCATCGCTCAGACGTGTGCATGTTGTTCTGCGGCGAGGACCATCGAGGAGCATCTTGGACCATCAAGCGAAAGCACACAAGCGATGGCGAGAAGGTCGCTGCCTCATCTTGCGTAAGACCTCTCTGATTTCGCCGCCCATCCTCCTCCTCCTCCTCCTCCTTCTCCTCCTCCTCCTCCTCCTCCTCCTCCTCCTTTTCGCCGCCCAGGTGAGCGTACCCACGCCCATGCTGCTGCCCGTGGCCCCGAGGGTCGGCGCCACCGTCCGCGTGATCGACGGGGACTGGAGCGGCTGCACGGGAGAGCTCGTGGGCCTCGCCGGCGCGGCGGGGGTGGTGCAGATAGGCCGGCTGCCCGCAAGGTTGACCCTTCGCTGGAGTGACCTCCCCAGACCCCCTCGAGTTATGAAAAAAACACGACGGGAGGTTTGTCTCTATTTTTGGCCTCTGGGGGCCCTTGCCGGCCCTCGGGACCGTCAAAAAACGACTCAGGACGGAAAACCGGTCCCGGGGAATGGGTCGAGACCTCGGGGGGTCGACGTCATGAAAAAATCATGACGTCGGGGGTCTGGGTCCTCGGCTGCTCTTAAGCTTCGGGGCCTCCCAGATGGGGTCCCAGCAGACGGGGTCGGAGGATCGCGCCGCATCGCCGATGCATCGACGGTGCGGCTCGATGTGGAGCCCGTGGTTCCCCACGCCGACGTCGCTGATGCATCGGCGATGCATTGGCGATGCGGCTTGATCCTTCGTCCCCATCCACTCTAATCCCATCTAGGAGGCCTCTTAAGTTGGCGGCGCGCAGAGGGAGGTAGTGGGAGGGGGGAAGGCTTCTTAGAAGCACCCCTGCGTCTGAGAAGGCGCGGGCCTTGTATACAGATGTAGGGCTGGTGCCTTCGAAGAAGAAGCAGCCTCCTAAGCAGACGTCACCCCCTCCCCCATACCCCCTTGCGCGCACTGCCACGTAAGAGTGACCCTTCGCCGGAGTGACCTCTGGTGCGCGGCTTTCGGAGGGCGCTGCGGGGCCAAGCCCAAGCACGCGGGCCGCCACCGTCGGCCAGCAAGCCGCGCACCAAACGGTCACTCCTGCCTCTAGGGTCACTCCTGCGTGTAGCCGACCCTCTGGTGCGGGCCCACAGGGGTCCCCCCAGCACTGGCCCTCGCGCCCGCGGCCCTTGGAAGCCGCGCACCGAAGGTCACTCTTGCACGGGGTCATGCCCCAGAGATCCGGCGCCTCGAGTCTTCCAGCGAGGGGTCTCTGGTCAGTGCTGGCCCCTTCTCGTGGGCCGGCCTTTTCCCGTGAGCTGTTTTTGCGGACGGCCCGGGGCCCCCTGCGAGGGCCTCCCGAGGCAGAGAACCGCGGAGGAATTCTGTGTTGATTTGTTCCTTCGCAGCTTGTCGCTAGAGGGTTCTATACTAGTTCTTAAAGTGATGGGCCGATTTTCCACCACCACTACCATAGGTAGGACGGGGGAGAAGGGAAGATGGGGAGGTCCTCCACCTCCTTCTCCTCCTCCTCCTCCTCCCTTTCCTCCTCCTCCTCCCCGTTCTCCTCCTCCTCCCCCTCCTCCTCCTCCTTACCCTCCTCCACCTCCTTCTCTTCCCCCTCCTCCTCCCGTTCCTTCCTATGGCAGTTGTGGTGGAAACTCGTCCCATCATAAAGAGTGGCAACAGAGGAGTTCCACTTGGGGGTACGGGCAGCCCAAGACCGCCCCCCCGGGGTCGCCCGCTCCAGCAGCCGTTTCGCCGGAGACTGCCGCACGAGTTTTTCCGAGGCCGTTCGGGACGATCGAAATGGGTACGGAAATCAGTATCGTTTAACCGACCTCCATCCCCATCTTCATCCCCTTCGAGACCCCCATCAAATTACCACCCCAGTTGGGCATACACACCTCGAAACCCTAAGGGAACGACCCGTGTCCCCATCTGGGGGAGTAAATCGGCCAGTGGGGCCAGCCTGTATCCATTTGAGACAGAAGGCCGCCTGCCCAACAACAACATTTGCTGTTGGGCATCGTATCCATTTTTCCCCGTACCCATTTTGGGCGTCCAAAGCCGTGCTCTCGCCTTGACGCCGGCAGCATCTCTGGTCTGGGCGGCCACGATCTGTTGCAGAATTGTACCCAGGGAGGTTTTGGCCAATTTCGGCCTCGGGGGGCCCCGTCAAAAAACGACTCGGGATGAAGAAGTGGTCCTGGGGAAAGGGTCGGGATTTCTAGGGACCCGTATTGAAAAAACTCAAGACGTCGCATGTCTGGATAAGACATACGTACGCCAGGTGCACATGGTCGTGCGTGTCCTGGGAATTCCCGGCAAGACCTGGACATGCACGACGCCACTAGCCAGCCGACCTACTCCTCTACCCACCTCTTCACCTTTTCTGCTCTTGGGGTGATTTGCTGGGGTGCCGGTGGACGGTCCCCGGGGGCCCAGCGAGGGCCTCCAGAGGCCGAACATGGCGAAGAAGCCTCTTCCTGGTTTCAGGGGAACAACAAGTGGCATAAACACAAAAACTCGGAGGTCCGCGCGGATTTCTCGGATCGGCGCTGGACCCCCCTCCCTGGCGCGCGGAGCGCGCCAGGGGCGGCGCCGGAGGCGCCGGGGGTCCCCAGCGCCGATCCGAGAAATCCGCGCGGATCTCCGAGTGTTTATGCTTATGTCCTTTTCTGTTCTCCGATTTCTACTCCAGGGCGTTGGGCGTCTGGGCTCCCTGCGTGCAGCCGGACAGGGAAGATGTCCTACCAGACGCTCCCGATGGCTCAGCTGGCGGTGCTCGCCGACGCCTCGTGAGCCCCTGGGCGGGCTCGGAATCGACGACAAATCCAGCCCGCGTGACGCCTCGCTGCGCGGAGCTCCCCTGCCCCTCCTCCTCCTCCTCCTCCTCCTCCTCCTCCTCCTCCTCCTCCTCCTCCTCCTCCTCCTCCCTCTACGGTCTGCTCCTCCTCCTCCTCCTCCTCCTCCTCCTCTTTCTCCTCCTCCTCCTCCTCCTCCTCCTCCTCCTCTTTCTCCTCCTCCTCCTCGGGCTTCGCCGCGTGGGGCGCTGGCGCTCCAGCGGGGGCCTCGCCTTCGAGGGCCAGGAGCTGGCACGTCTGCCTCGGCGGGAGGCCGCGGAGGTAAAGAGCGAGCGGCTCCGCCGGCGGAAGTCCGGCGCAAGCTGGCGGGAGTCGAGGTTCTGCACGCACGAAATGGGTACTGAAAGAATGGGTACAATGCCCAACAGCGCATCTTGTTCAGTTTGAACAGGGCTCGCTGTCCACGCCGCCGCGGCCTGTGTCCATTCGAGACAGGAGGCCGCCTGCCCAACAGCGGCCGCTGTTGGTTTGGGATAACATTTGCTGTTTGGGACAACATTTGCTGCGGCGGAACTCCGGCGCAAGCTGGCGGGAGGCGAGGTGCCTCTCCCGAGAGATTCGGGCCGGGCGAAAGGGGGGGATTGGGAAAGGGGGGGTTACGAAATTTGCTGCATGCAGCTGGTTTCGGCCTCACCGAGGGGCCCATTCCTCGATACATAGCCGCCTCCGGCGCTGGGAGGCGCCTGGAGCTGATTCTCAAACCCCCCCTTTGCTATCCCCCCGTTTCGCCCGACCCGAGAGATGGCACCGTTCTGGGGGTTTCAGGGTTTGCGGAGCCGGTCCAACAACAGACGTCAGGGGCGGGATGGGCTCAGGGGGGACATCGAGGATCGAGGTTCGAGGTTTTCAAACGCTTTCGTCGGATCTCGTCGGTGTTCGAGCCTCGGGGTGCCTTGCAGCGGCTGCATCTCGCTGAGAGCCTCCCAGGGGTCCTCGGATCGCCCCGAACGGCCGCCGGAGAGCCGGGTGATGACCCGAGAGCCCGACGACGAGGGCCAGCGCTGGGGGTAGAATTTGGGGGGACGCCTCTATTTCCAATCGCTCATTCGTCGCCGCAGCGCGCCCGCTAGCCCACCCTGCCCAGGAACGTGCGGATTTGCGAGCGGGGGCCTCTCTCCGATCTATCCGCTATGAGTCGCCGATTCCAGCTTGATGTGTCCCCTCCGGAGCCGGTCCCCCCTGACGTTGCCTCTCACCCATCCTGTTCCATCTCCTCATCCACCCTCTGCCTAACCTCAGTTCCTCGACACGAGCGGACCTCCGACAGCTCATGTTTATGCAGATGTCTTCTCTTTCAACGGGGATCTATTGTTTGGCGCGGCAAGTCGTGCCGTCGTGCCCGGAAGGCCGTAACACGTGTTTGGGGTCTTGTGTTGGTAAGATTGGGTTCGTCTTGGGGTTATTCGTGGCCGTCTGGCGGGCTCCTTAGGGCACTGTCCGGATCTGTTCGTTATCAGAACCTCGCCTTCCTGGAGGGCGGCGTTTTGCCCTTGATGTTGTCTTAGAAGCTTCGTCGGGCGCCTTTGGCGCCTCGTGGGGCATGGAGGCTGTCCCCTTCCTCTTGGGGCACATGGCGGTTTTCTTGCCAGCCGTGGTGGCCTTCCTGGGCTGTGGTGGAAGCCTGCCTCGGATGAGGGTGGTGGTGATGCAGGTGCGCGCGGGGAGAAATAACAGGTTGTAACATGAGTGGAAGTTTGGGCCGCTGGGTGTCTTCGCACAGTGCCCTCGCCCCCTCTCCTGATCCTCCCGCGTCGGCGCGACGGCGTCCAGCGAGTTGCGACGTGAGACAGCGGGCTTCGAGCGCATGGGGTGGTTTGGCAGCAAGGCACTGGAAGCTTGCGTACTCCCGTAATATTTCTTTCGCATGCGTTAGCGTCGATTAGCGTCTGGTGGTCGATGGGATAGTGCCGCTTTGGCGTCGATGAGTGTCGATTAGAGTCGATTAGCGTCGATTTAGCGTCGATTCGCGAGAGCCAACAAGATGGTATGGGAGGCTCCCATGAGTTGTCGTAGAAGGGCGGAAGTGGAGAATGACCCCAGCAGAATCACTGAGCAGCTTTCCGCAATCGGGGTGTTACGCTGGTGGGCCACCACGGGCTACCGATTTCTGTTGGTGCCCGTGCTCCATCGCTGGGCAGAACCCTGACGGACAAGCTGCCTATCGGCGGCGAGCGCGGGGAGGGGGGAAGTGAGAAGAAGACCTCAGAAGGCGGCGGGTTCGCAGCCACGCTTCCCCGGCACTGGCCTTGCCTCCCGATCCGTCTTCGGACGGTCCCAGAGCTCGGCGAGGGCCGAGGGCCCCCAGAGGCCGAGAGATGGCAAAGCGCCGGCCGTCGCTCGTGTTTCACCGCGAGGAGAGACGTGCTTCGATTCCCTGGCGATGACGGGCGTCATCAGCGGGGGACCGACACTGTCACGATGCGCGCCGGCGCCGTCCAGGAGTGCTCAGGAGAGTGCACAGTTCCCAGACGGCGGTGGCGCGAATCGTGACTTCGCCTGGGGGGAAAGGCGGTGACGGGCGTTCCTGCGAGCAGGAGGAGTGCTAGCTCAAGGAGATGAGGTCGACCACGCGTAAGAGTGACCCTTCGCCAGGGTGACACTTGTTGTGGGCCTTCGCGCCCTCGCTGTGGCGAGCCCCCCCCCCGGCGGGAGGCCACCGAGAGCTCGCACTACCTGGTAGCGCTGCGGCAGGGCGTGTCGGCGGCTCAGCCCTCGCCCGCCCTGCGCGGGGAGGGTGGAGGGGGGGGAGACTTTGGAGGGGCGAGGGAGGGGAGGGGGGAGGGAGGGGGGGGGCGGGTGGGGGGAAGGGAGGGGGGGAGGGGGGGGTACGAACGACCACGACGGGATATCATCTTGGGCGCTCCAAGTGCCCTTATTCTCTTTCACTATTATCCTCTTATCCTCCCTCTCCTCCTCCTCCTCTCCCTCCTCCTCCCCGTCCTCCCTCCTCCTCCTCCTCCTCCTTCTCTCCTCTTCTCCTCCTCCTCTCCCTTTCCCTCCTGCCGCTCCTCCTACTCCTCCTCCTCCTCCTCCTCCTCCTCCTCCTCCTCCTCCCCCTCCTCCTCTTCCACTCGTTTCTTCTTCCTCCTCCTCCTCCTCCTCCTCCTCCTCATCATCATCATCATCATCATCCTCTCCCTTCTCCTTTTCGTTTTCCTCCGCTTCCTGCTTCTCGCTGTGGTGTCCGGGGAATTTGAAAATATTTTTTACATATATATATATATAAAGAACATACATGTTCTGGAGGTCCAGGAGTGTTCGGCAATCCTGGTGGCTTGGCCAGCGGCGCCAGGGGCCCTGGAAACATTAAAATTTTGATTTAAAATCAGGCGCTTGAATGTTTAAAATGTTAAAAGTTCTATGTTTCAAAATGTTCTGGAGGTCCAGGAGTTGTCGGCAATCCTGGTGGCTTGGCCAGCGGCGCCTGGGGCTTCTGAATTTCCAAATTACTTGTTGGGAAAAAGTAGAAAATCTCCGGCGTTTGAAATTCTAGAAATGCTTTAAAATTTTAAGATTTTTCACGTTCTGGAGGTCCAGGAGTGTCCGGCCATTCTGGTAGCTCTGTCTGCGGTGCCTGGGGCCTCGGAATTTTGCATATTTGCATTCAAACAAAATCGGAAAAAGTCACGCCATTGGAGGCCCAGGAGGTTTCGGAGTTCTCTATGGCATATCGTGGGCTCTCTTTGAGCTCTCTTGATTTCCTTCCGGTGAATACCATGGAGTGTTGCGAGATATCTGCGAAATTTTCTGTGGACCTCATGCTAACGCTGCAACGGCCGGAACCCCCACGGGTGACGACCAGCCAACGGAGCTCGAGATGGTGAAGTCGCTGGTGCAGATGAAGTGCGCGGAGGACGCGTCACCAGACGCCACGGCGGAGGAATTCGATATGGAAAAAGTGGACATTGCGAACCTGGAGACCCGCGTGACTGATGTAAAGAACATGGATCCAACCTCCGAGGACGTGTGCGAGTCGCTGCTGGTCGCCTTGAAGCAGCGCGCCAAGGACGTCAGAAAGATCCAGAAGGCGCTCGCCGACAATGCTGCGCCAGATGCTGCGGATACGCCGAAGGCGAAGAAAGCCAAGAAGGCGCTCGCCGACCTGGAGCCAGGTGCGGAGCCGAAGAAGTCGAATAATGCCAAGAAGGGCTCGAACTGAGTGAGCGCCCGCGCAGAAGATCCGCGCCTGAGCGTGGACCAGCCCTCGGGCTTTGAGGAGTGCGTTTTCGAATTGATTGTACATGATGCATTGGTGGAGGGTGTGGATTGATTGCTACAGACACTACGAGCTCAGCTCGGTATTCGTTCTCATGTCGCTTGGTCTCGGTGACTCTTGGTCGGCTGGCGCGCTGGCCCTTATGAACAAATCTGTTGCGCATGTGTTTGACGGCGCACTCGTCTTGAGCCAAACTGAAACAGCGTATGCCGATGGCGTGCTGGCCGAGAGCCGAGACGCATGCTGACATGACGCCCCGAATGGTTTCTGAGTTAAAGCAGGGATCTACCGGGAATGTTGCGACGTTGCCTTGTCACAGAGAAAACATTTGAGCCTGGAGACCGATGCCCAGTGTCTGACGACACACTCCGCCTGAGCTTCGCCAAGTGAAGAAGCGTATGCCGAAAACGTGCGGCTCGAAAGCCGAGCTTGTATGCTTTTCCGAAATGCCTACGAATTTAAACAAAGTCTGTCGGACCGGGGGCCGTCCCAGGGACAACGAGAACATTCGGGGGTTGGTTTTCGGATTCTGGAATGCACTTGTATCCTGGCGACAATGAGTGGGGATGGCATCCCCATGATACCCTCCTGCAAAGCCTGAAGGTTTTGCGGGGTAATATCAGATGGAGGTTTGCCATCCGGGGGGGGGGGGGGGGGCCAGGGAGCCACGCGCACGGGTATGAAACATTGAGCGAAGAGAAGACCCAGCCGACACCCAGAAATCGAAAAGCTGGGCCCGAGCTTGGCTGAGAACCGATGCGGGCCCAATGTCGGGATTGATTCGGTATTGGAAGCTTCGCAGCGTTAAGATAACGCTGCGAAGCTTCCAAGGAGGAGGAGGAGGAGGAGGAGGAGGAGGAGGAGGAGGAGGAGGAGGAGGAGGATGGGGGGGGAGAGGAGGACAACCTGCAGAGTTTGCACGCGCTGCCAGCAACGGCTCAGCGCCACAAGCTGTCAGGCGGCACAGACTGCCCCGAGCCCGCGGCAGAGGCCTTGGCGCGCCACCTGCAGTCGCGCCCTGTTTCGAAGCAGCGCTTGGCCACGACCACCATGGCCGTGCCAGCCGACGAGTTCCACGCTGCACTGGAGCACGCCGACAAGCAGGTAGCGCGCCGCGGCTTCGGGGAGGAGGAGCGGGAGGGGATCGTGCTTCTGGTGATGTTGCAAATTTTCTCCCACCACGTCCCGCTTGTACAATACGCGCTGAAGATGTAAAGCTGGAGCGCATCACGTCCGGCACTATCGTCGAGACACTCCTCGGCGCCTCAGAGCAACAGGTCGCTTGTGACGTCGCCAGAGGCCACGAACGGCAACCCCAGGAAGAAGTCGTCGACCTACGATCTCTCGACCTTCACGATTGGAGAAAGCGTTTGCCACCTACTCCACCTCGTATAGACGCGGGGGGCGCTCGCGGTAGACAAATCTGGCAGGGCAGTTCTAGACGCCGAGAAGGTGGCGACGGCCATCGGCCCACTACTTGCAGCCCACGTTGTTCATGACGCTGGGTACTTTGCAGCTTTCAGCAAGGCGATCCCGATCACTGGCTCCATGGCTCTCAAAACTAGCCCGGCGAAGTGTGCAAAAGGGAATATTTACGCAGCTTGCTTCAACGCCAGCGGGGCTAGCGAGTTAATATATAGGCACGCCATGTTAATGCGATTCGTTTCGTACTACGTTTCAACATGCTTCATGTTGTAGCAGATTCCCACATGATTCCTTAAGTTATGTACATATATGTATAAGCTCCATGTCACTACGATTCGTTTCGTAATGCGTTTCAGCAGCATTCACTTTGTAGCGGATTTCCTTAGGATTCCTCATGTACTGGCTGACGATTTTATTCATGTGTAACGGCTTGCGCTCGATGTGTGCTACGCGAAAACAATGGATATAGCTGCGGTGCGCAGGGTAGTTTCGTATGTAGTCACGGTTTGCATTATGTTTTGTTTGTAACGACGTCCGCTGGTTTGTGTAGATTTACACGTGCATATATATATATATATATATATATATAGTAAGCATTGAATAAGTACCCCCTGTTAATGCGATTCGTTTCGTAATGCGTTTCGGCATGGTTCATTTTGTAACGGATTCCCCCATGTTTCTTTTTTTTGTAGTGGCTGACGAATATATTCATGTGCAATGGTTTGCACTCGGTGTGTGTGAGTGTACACGAACACAAGTGATAGAGCTGCGGGCATTCAGGGCAGTTTCGTTTGGAATTATTGAGTTGTCTTGGAGCCTTCTTGGGCCCCCCCCTGTTGGGCAAACTTGGAGACTTGCGAGCGAGGCCCCAGGGATCCCCCCAAAGGGTGTCTGGGATGTCCGCCGCGAACCCGCGACATAATTGCTTGTGTTGCGGGTGTTATGGTTATGTTTGAGCCCTTTTCGGGCCCCTCCCTGGATTCCACCCCCGCGTTAAGAGGGCGCCGCAAGGTCTCCAGGAAGGAGGAGAAAGGGGGAGGATGGAGAGGACGAGGGGGATGAGGGGGAGGATAAGGATGATGATGATGATGATGATGAGGAGGAGGAGGAGGAGGAGGAGGAGGAGGAGGAAGAGGAGGAGGAGGAGGAGGAGGAGGGGATGATGATGAGGAGGAGAAGGAGGAGGAGGAGGAGGAGGAGGAGGAGGAGGAGGAGGGGGGGGGAGGAGAAAAAGAGGAGGAGGAGGGAGAGGAGGAGGAGGAGGAGGAGAGGAGGAGGAGGACGAGGACACCCCACAGAAGCCACAGAGTCGTGCCAGGAAGCCCCAGGAGCCACAGGATGTCCCATAATGTTCCAGGAGCCCCCAGGAGGTTCCAGGAGGCCCCAACATGATATCCCGTCCTGGTCGATCGGACGGATGGGGGGGAGGGGGGGGAGGGATGGGGGGGAGGGAAGGGGGGGGGGGGAGGGGGGAGGAGGGGGAGGGAGGGGGAGGGGGGGAGGGGGGGGGGGGGGAGGGGAAGGGGGAGGGGGGGGGGAGGGAGGAGGCAATGGGGAGGGGGGAGGGATCTCCTTCGCGCGGCCGCCGGAGCGCGGAGGGCCCAGACAGGGCGAGCCCTCTTGCAGCGCGAGGTTGTGGCCCTCGTCCCTGCGGGGCGCGTCCAGTTGCGTCGCTGGCGCGCGCGGCGGCGGCGCGGCGAGACCGAGCGCCTCTCGGTCACGCGCGGGGGGGGGGAGGGGGTGGCGGGGGACCCGGACATGATCGCGTCGTTAAAAAATCAGGAGGGGAGGTTTTTGGCCGATTTCGGCCCCGGGGGGCTTTCGCCGGGCCCCGGGACCGTGAAGAAACGATTCGGGGGGAAAACGGGTCCCGGGGAAAGGGTCGGGGACTCTCGGGGGGGCCCGCATTGAAAAGCACAGGACGTCGCATGTCTGGGGAGGGGAGCTCGTCATGCTCCTACAGATGTGCGCCACGAGTGCCGCCTGGCCAGGCGTCGGAAGATACCTGGCCCGGGCGTTGAGCCGAAGCGGGGCGAGGGGGCTGGTCCGAGGAGG